AGAGAAGGACGAGTTGACCTATATGTGATCTGAAAAGTAACAGCTATTCTATTTGCTCATATTAAGAATATGTCTTATAATTTAGTATTCTCGAATTTCCATTTTGAAAGGCCATAAAATTTTGCATATTTATCTTTTTCTATGCCACAACGATTATAGTTAATGATCACATTTTCTTGCAAATAATATCATTGACACACATCTAAATTAAATTACTGAGTAGAGTGGCTTTGCAATCCCCCTTCGTATTGAGTATTTAATTTTCATGAAATAAACACTGTTTTATTAGATTGCTACATTTTGTTATTTATCTCATCGGAAATTTCTAATATTTCACAAGAACAAGATAATTATGACAACAAGTTGGTTTCCCATCTTTAGATATAATTATGTTAAATGAATGAAGACTATATCTTTTGCTAAATGAAAAAAAATGATTAAAGGTATCATTTGGAATATACATGTACGAGCATAATATAATTTTACGTTTAAGGTATTTAACATGATATGCTAAAACGTTTCAGGTATTTGGAATGGGATTCTAAATTGTTTCAGCATATTAATCGCAATTCGCATTACACATAATTTTGAACAAGTTTGATTTTTTGAACTTTTTTTTTTAGCAAATGCCGTTGAAAGATTTTGTTTAAATAAAATTTAGTTTCTTTTGTCTACGCTTTTTTGTCTTTTGTTTACGCTTAGATAATCGTAAATGTCCACTCTCTTGTATTCCTTAATTATAATATGACTGCAATATCAACAACACGTAAAACGAGATAAATTGCTTTAGTTATCACATTTTGTATTTAATTATAAAAGAAAACTTAAAGTACATTTATCTGATGGAATTGTAGGTATTTAATTGAATGTTCATTGACGAGAACCGACACAATCTGTGTGACCTTTTACGTTTTATTGTGTACGCATTCTATTCATTTAAGACTTATAAACAAACAGATGTTGAGACATATTGGGGATAAAAGATTGATTCAAGGAGAGAGAGAGACAGAGAGAGAGATGGCTCGTCTTCCATAGTTTATTAAGTGATAACGTAAAAAGAACAAAAACAAATGCTTGTCAGTCTTCAATCAAATTCCTATTTTACATAAATGTATTTTATTATAATGTTACAACAATATATCAACAATATATTATGTTGTTATAATGTTAAACATATTAAAACCAGACAGCATTGGCGGATCTATGTAATTTACATATACGTAATTCACACACACAATGCATTGTAATTATACGTAAATAACGGTTTCGTAGGCACATACATAGCTTATGTGAACTTGGTAACAGAAAAGTTTTATACATGACATTGTATAAATTAGTGGCACCATGCATATTAGGTTTAAGAATTGTGTATGCATACACTACAAAGAAAAAATGTTTGAGGGTTGATATGGTCAGCACATATATCATGATTATGTAATGACATAATATCTCTGCATTGTTTATATTAAGTTGTCTTTCTTATTTTCTTAATTTTTCTTGATTCCCAGGAGAAAATTTGCAGCTTTGTTTTTACAAAGTCTAAAAATCATATGCAATAAAAGTTGCAATCGTTTGATTAGGCTGGAAAAAAATATACTTCGAAAGGTTCAGTGCAAGTGTAATAAATTGCCACAAAGTGTAAGTTTCGTCAGGTCTTAGAAATTGTAAGGTAACAAACTCTTACTGTGTCTAGTTTTGTTATGGCCTCTTGACATACAGTCAATTGTTTGCTGCTATTAAAAGTAGAATTAGAAATATAATAAAGATTGCATAGGTTCTGCACGTATATCTATTGAAATAAGAGTATAACATTTCTTGTAGTAAACATCAAGTGATTAAATGATTGAATATATATTGTTTTCTTTTTCAGCTTGTTTTGAAACAATAAATTTTCCTTGTGTAATTTCAATAATAATTGCAACAAAAAATTGGATACAATTATATGAACGTTCCTTGTGTAATTTTGATAATAATTGCAACCAAAAATTGGATAAAATTATATGAACATTACATGTTGCAAAACGTAATATATTCACGAAGCAAGACGATTTTTAAAAAAATGCAATACTTGATTTAAACTGCTGAAAGAAAAAAAGGAAGAAAGAAAGAAATAGTTTTTTCTATACAACATGATACTTATTTGGCTGCACTCATAATAATATATTTATAAATGTATGATGTAGGCATGTGACATACAAGTTATCGCATATGTCAACAATATCTGCGTATAAAAACATAATTGAAATCTAAAATGTTTCTTAATGATAAACTTTTACTATCTTAAAATGGGTACATTTGAATGAACTGATGCAATTATTATTGCTGTAAAAATATAACTATTTATTGACATAACCTTATATAGATGGAGTCAGATTTTCTAATACATATAGTGATATATCCAGAAATGAATACTTCAAATGTTATACTGTTAATGCAGATTAAGTTCTAAACAATATTTAATAAAAATTCATAATTAGTATATTGAATTTTGGTGCTTATGTAACCAGAGATTTGAATTGTGTAACATAGATAAGTACAAAGTTTTCTAACAATAGATTTTAAAAATCTATGAATAACCTTTATGAAGTAACTTTAAGACACTTTGTTTAAATTCGTCCTTTGGCTTTCATTATACATTTTTTGCAACATTAAGACACAGGTCATAAACTGTTTCATGCAAAATAACAATTTACAAACTTAACCTCAGGTTCAAATTGGGTTTAATGACGTATCGTATTGACATTAATACATTAATGTTACATTAATTGTGACAAATAAGGGTATAGATAAGATATTTTAGTTTTATTGCTTATCTTACTTTGTCACACAATTGTTACATATATAATAATGTTTCTAAGTACTATTTAGGTTAATCATTTTGTATTTTAGCTTATGATTCAATACAGTGTTGTGCACCTGTATATCACAACCACCAATCAACAATTACAATAAGGCCTTTGCACAAAAATATAAATATAAAAAGATTCTCTAACATACTAAAATATCATATACTTAGTTAAGGTCAGTTTGATTGCGCCTGTAATGTGTCAGTTCAAGTATGCTTTGCATGTCCAGTGTAAAATATATTTTATTTTTTGAAATGTATGTGTCTACATTGAATTACATTATTCACTACATGATAGTTTTACCAGAAATTACAAATGGTAACCCCTAAAGACGCCCGACACTGAAAAATTAAAAAAAAACACAACATTACAACAACACATAATTTCTTTGATACAGCTTACTTATGGAAGTGGTAACAGCTAAATACGCTGACGTCCCCTAGCATCCAATTAAAGAACATGACATATATAAGTAGAAGTAAGTACGTCATGTTTTGTGATGAAAGAAGATATATGACGGTATAAGGACGGTGAGTATTTATTAATCGTTGGAAATCACGAAACAGTAGAAATGACCGTTACGTGCAATCTAATGTGTGGCGTCACATGATTCCAAAATAAATGTGACAGTGCCCTTAGGATAAACAAACAGCGGAAATATGCTCCTTGGACCGTTGGTAGAGGTCCGACCTTATGGCACTTGCGTATATTAACATATTTCAAAAACGAAAAAGAAATATGCTGAGTATAATTTTCGTAAGACTGGAATAAAATTGTTCTAATTGTTTTCCAGTAATTATCGCTAAAAAGCTTGATATAACATGATTTGTAATATCCAATTATGATTCAAACAAAGCATGGTGTATGTACTGGCATACTGTTTGTCGGCTTTAGACAATTTCCGAAATGGCGGGAGGATCTAAGAGATATTGTCATCGACAAAATGTGTTTTTTCGGCTTCTATGTGAGTCTGAATATTCTTCAGCAAAGTTAAACTAGGCAAATGCATTCATAAAAGACAGCTATATTGCCGATATCTGAATCATTTAAAACTTACATATGTTACATTTTTTATAACCTTCGTTATCATGAATTTGATCTTGTATTATTGATAGTATTTATAACAGCTGAATGTATACTAGTTCTTAACCTATCGTTTGAAATATAAAACAAACATTATGTTGATATTAAACTACATTATCTCTATTACATTTAACATAAATTATGACTCACTTAAATAATATAATATATAAATGACATTAAACTTATTTTATACTTTTACTCATTCGAACAATTCGATTATTTCCCATTCAAATGTAAAAGTTTTTGTGCCTTTAATGATTCTTTAGACATCTCTTGATTACTGACTAAAAGCGGCAGTGGAAGGTTAGTACAAATTAATGTCCTCCCCTGACACCAACTGAAGAAAAATAAACCATTTAAACAGAATAAGGTTACTTACATTGAATGTCTATGTGTCACTTTAATGAATAACACCACATAATTCCATAAGAAAAGAGACGTGTTCCCTCGAGAGAAAATAAGGCGGAAGTACGTTAAATGACATTTTCAGATTATCCTAGCCTATAACATCTGGGTATAATTAACAGAAGTCAAAGAAAAAAAGCAAAACATGCAAACTTTTCTAAGAATGGTTTTAACAAAAATAGAATATAATGATTCTTATTGTAATCCTCTCATCATCGTAAAATCGCTTAATATTACAACAGTTGTCATGCATGATTGTTATGTTCAAAGAAAGCATGGTGTAATAATGGACAGAACTATTTGTTGGCAACAGTCAACATTACGCGCGGAGAATATCATTGAGAGACACACTTATTGATTAAAACCCTGTTGTTTAGCTTCTTTGCTGTTCTTAATTGTAATTTAACTAAAGAAATGTAAAGAAAACAAGTGCTGAATATTAAGCAATGCAGTTTTACAAGGATATTCAATATTGTTTGTTTTGATTAGTCAAATATACATATGTTACCATTTTTATAACCTTCGTTATCTTGAATCTGATCTTGTGTTATTGATAGTTAATAGCTTAAAGTATACATATTAAAATTTATCACATCTTTAATAGAAATAAAAATAAAAATAAAGTTTGATATATACAAAATACATAATATTCATTTCATGTAACACATATTTCAATTCATTACAGTTATGTTTACTGTTACTCATGCGAGGAAAGTGACTCTATCGCATTCAAATGTAAAAGTTTCTGTGTCTTTAATGATTCTTTTCTCGGTTGTCTTCTTGTGTCGTTGCGACAGATCTCAATGCTACCTGTTGCATAGTAAAGAAAGAAGTTTATACTGTGATTTAAGTACATTAACATTTCCGCAATTGAATATATCAAAATCCTCCTTGTAAGTGTGCTGTCATCCACCACACTGTCAGCAAGCGATGTATGTATCAACACTATAGCCATTGGCAACGTTGTCACAAGGAAAACAAAGGATATAACTAACAACATGCACGTAATTTTGTGGCTTGTTTCACTTCCCGCCATTTGTTGTGAATGATTGGATAAAAGTAAAGAATGTTGCCTTAAATCGTTTCGTTTCTTTTTTGCAGTTATAAGATTTCTAATAATAAGGCTATTTAATATAATTATAATTAAAAAAGGTAAAAATGAATAAATTACCGCATCAACCCATGGCCAAATAATGTCAACAATATATATATAGCCAATTTTTGCCTGGCATTTTGAAATAATGGAAGAATTATATGAAAAATGTTGAAGGTTTACAGACCATAAGAAATGGCAATTTACAAGTAAGAAAATGAGCATAAGTATATAAATACATAAACGAGAGGTTCGGGCATTACATAACCTTGCCTTAAGTGGAAATAGCACAACTACAGTTCTTTCAATAGTCACCGCAACAATAAGCCATACAGACACATCGCTGCAAAAATATCCTAGGAATTTCACAAGTTTGCACAACCCGTTACTTATTTCCTCTATGTTTATCATAAATTGTCCAAGCCATAGTCGAAACAGACCCACATAAAGCACTAGTAAATCCATAACTGCTAAAACTATCAGATAACAGTACGTAGATGCCTTTTGTACATTTTTCTTTATTAAAATGAAAAACGAAAATATGTTTCCAAAAGTACCAATAATTAAGAGAACTGGTGGCACAACTGAAAGTATGTGTTTGTAAATAACATAATCCCGGTACATCATTAATGTTTCTTCGTAAGTTTCCATAGTTATATGTGTTGGTTTCTTTCCGTTTTATGTTTGGTACTATATCAGATAATTTCTTGTTACTGCATTAACCTGCCTTCAATTTTACATAATCATTTGTTATAACAATTATATCCATCAGTCCTTTTATATAACACACAAGAAAATTTCCAGTTCAATTTATAAAAAATAGATAATTCTGAAACTTATTAATAATCACCCCGGTTCGAATTCTTTTCCATTATTTCACTTTATATACACCATGTTTTCCAAACTAAATAAAAATTAATTTAAAGTAAAGACACTATCATAACATCAAATATTCTGCTGCTGTATACTCCTTTCTAATCCTTGATCGTTTATGTAAAAGAATTGAAACATATGTTAGCTTTATTGGTTTTTGATTTATTGTACCATAATCATGACTGTAAGACGTGCTAACATCTTATCGTCAATACTCACGACAGGGTTCAGCTGTAGAAACTAAATATAATAGCTACAACTTGAATACGATGGCATTGTCTGCTCCGTACAAAAGAGATGTTTTATTGCTCTAGGTTGACAACAGTTATTTTGACAGCAACACATTGATTACTTATCGACAAAAACTAATTTAGCTAGATTAGATTAATTCGACCAATATTTACATGTACTACTAGTTTCCCAAAACATTTGAAACAGCTTTAATAAACCTTACTGTACTTTATTGAAGTATTGTTTTATATCTTACGGGACATCGGTTTTGGAAGTTACAATATAAAACAGTCATACAGAACATAACTCTATATTATATCGTATTGTCACTATGAACAGTTAATTGTAAATTTTCGTTACAAACTTAATTAGGTACTTTTTTGCTATTTGGCTACCGGGTAGAATGTGGAATGGTTGTTATAGCTGAACAAAAATGAAATAAATTCTTGTGTTGGAAACACTACACTATCAAGTGAGAAAATCGACCGGATATACATTTAAAGAAACCTTAATGACGCCAAATTAAGAAAAATGTAAAGTACGGTGTATTCTGAAGGCAATTCATATGGAACCTTTAAAGTGACATTTGCTTTCCATAATGTACGTAGTCTGATAATAAATTACCTTTAAAAGCTTTTGACTTTACTATTGTACTTCCAAACTTACATTGATCATTATATAGGAGATACCTAGTCATTAGTTACAAGCGATAAAAATGTCAACTTCAGTTCAGGAACTTTAGCTTGTTTTGTATATATGCAAATATTTTACAAAACAAACAAAATAACAAACACTGCTTTTTTAAGACATTATTATATTTTCAATCAATAACATCAATAGACAAGATGCTCTACATAATTTAATAACAATGAATATTGCAACATATGACGAATCAGATAGGAATATCTGCCCCTCGACAAACCTCGTAACTGCCGAAGCAGTTTCATTCTAGAGTGTGCCGAATTGGCGTTATTGTAACACAGTGTGTTTTAATATGACGTAAATATAGAGCACGTGACCTATCTTGCACCAAGTCATTCTGACATGGGTAAGACTAACGGAAACACCAATAATTGTAACCGCCCGCCGCAATTCAACCAAATTAAGATGCAGCATGGTGCGTCACGTCATAGCTATATGTATGTAAGATGTATGTGTGTCGGAAATGAAAAAAAATGTAAGAAGTTTTCCGCTTTATGCTATTTGCTTTTATAAATGAAACAAATAATTAACTGTAATGACGTAGACATTTTTATTTTCTTCGGGTTATTATTTCTATAACTGAAACAATACAAGTTGTTGACAAATTTCTTTATTTCAGCCAAACTGGTAATTATTCTTGTAGCTATCTCGGACTACATGTACTAATTCGTCTTGGCTAATTATAAGCACCAAATGTTTTAGTGTGGATATTTAATCAATATTTGATTTCTGTCGTATAAATGATCAATGTCAATGTCATGTTTAGTCTATTAGATTGAAGGACAAATTTAACCTCTGCAAGGATATATTCAACTTATTTTACTGTATGCGGCAACAATAAAGTATATGCGGTGAACAGATATTGATAAAAAATATCGTCTGTTCAATATTTGTTTTGTTCGCAACTGTTAATTCAAAAATATTTTAAGAATATCAAAATGATACATTTCTATTGTTTTAAAATCATAACAGGAGGTCACTGTTAAAAACTAGGCTTATAACTCTATAATATGTTTTATGTTTGAGAAAGATGTCCCATTTGTGTTAAAATGTTGAAAGTAAATGATTGGAATTAAGTGGGGCATAGCAACGGGACAAGCAATTTTCTGTTCCACTAACAGTAAAATTAATTCACCTTTGGAGGTAAATTAATTTTGTTGTTAAATCTTCGTTAAAGCCGATTTTTTAACGAAAAGACAACGCTTATTTTTTTCTGAACAACAGACTTTAACAAAGATATTTAACAAAAAAATTAACATCACTTTGTTAATTTAACACAACTGTAACGTTAACAATGTTTGATTAACGCAGAATTTAACAATGTTTTGTTAATATGGTTTCGTTGTTATATATTTAACAAAAGTTTTGAGCAATTGGGCCTATATTTCTTGCCAATTGAACAATAATTCTTGGTTAAAAGCATCAATTGAATAAACGAGCATATAATGATTAAACGTTTAAGGTATTCAAAATTATATGCTAAAACGTTTCAGGTATTTGGAGTGTGATTCTAGATTGATTCAGCATATTAATCGCAATTCGCATTACACATAATCTCGAACAAGTTTGATTTTTATACATTTTATTTGCGCAAATTGTAGGACTTTGTTTATAAGCAAGATGTGGTGCAAACGTTAGTTTCTTTTTATTTTATAATTTAGTTTATGCTTACATAATCGAAAATGTTCATTTTTATGTTTTCCTTAATTATAATATGGTTGCAAAATCAACAACACGTAAATAGAGATAAATTGTTTTACTTATCACATTTTGTATTTAATTATAATATAAAACCTAAAATACATTGATCTGATGGAATTATAGGAATTTAATTGAATGTTATTTGTCGAAAATAGACACAATGTGTATGACCTTTTTACGTTTTATCGTCTACGCGTTTACTCGTTATAAACAAACAGACGTTGAAACATATTGGGGGTAAAAGATTGATTCAAGAGGAGAGAGAGAGACGGCTCGTCTTCCCTTGTTTATTTAGTAATAACGTTAAAAGAACATAAACAAATTATTGCCGGTCTTCAATCAAATTCATTTTTGCTATAGGTGTATTTTGTTACCATGTTACAATAATATATCAACAATATATCATGTTGTTCAAGTGAGAAACAAATAAAGATCAGACAGCCTTGACGTAATAAAATAGGAGCTCTATGTAATCTATATATAAGTGACACACATTGCGTTGCATTTACGTAGAAATGACTTCGTATGCACATACATAGCTTATTTGAACATAGGTAAGAGAAATGTTTTATACATAATTGTATAAATAAGTGGTACTATGCATATGAGGTTTATCAATTGTATATACATACACAACAAAGAAAAGATTGTTTGAGGGTTTATAAGGTCCCATGATATTTTTAAGTCTGTATCTGTATTGTTTTTAACTTGTATTGCCTATTTTCTTTACCTTAAGTTAGTGCTTGTTTAACAGGAGAAAAACTTGCAGCTGTTCGTTTATTAAGTCTAAAAACATATGCAATTGTAAACGGGGAACGGTTTATTACTTATTGTAGCGTAATAATATTGCCTAACTTTAAGCAAGAAAAGTGATCGTATAGTGTTTCAAAACTGATTGTAAAGTATCAGTACTAGCATAATGGAAATTAAGATATCAGAATTAAAAAGAAGTATAGTACTTATATAAAGTAAATTTGGTCATCTATTACAATACTATTACGCTGCTAAACAATAAGTATTTGGAATCGTTTGGCACTTTTGCCAACTTAAATTTAGTTAATTGCTATTAACAAGTGTTCTTTAAATGGACACGTTTACGACGTCACTTTATGACGTCAAACTTGAACGAACACTTGGACGTGAAGGTTTGACGTCATAAAAGAGGTGAAGCGCCGTTGTTTTTATTTCTCGGAAGTTTTCCGATTTTCTTTTATTTCCCCTACCTTATTTATTTTATATGTATGCTAATTATGAAATATGATGACTTAAATATTTAATACAATTCATAAAACTTACATTTGCCTTTATTCTCATTTCTTTTGTTTAATTTACACAAACGGTCCTGTGATATGGAACCGAAAGACTGTTCCCCGTTTACACAATAAAGGTTAAAATGTGACGTTAAAATCGTTTGATTAGGCCGGACAAAAATATAGTTCGAAAAATTCGGTACAATATATGTTTTTTCTTTGCCTGTAATTTTAATTGCCACAAAGTGTTAGCTTCATCAGCCCTTAGAAAACTTTAGTTTTATTGCTTATCTTACTTTGTCACACAATTGTAACATATATAATATTTTTTCTAAGTACTGTTTAGGGTAATCATTTTGTATTTTAACTAATTATTCCATTGTTGTACACATATACATCACAACGACCAATCAACAATAATTTACTATAAGGCTTTGCGCAAAAATATAAAATATAAAAAAGATTCTCTAACATACTAAAATATCATCATACTTAGTTGAGTTTAGTTTGATTGCGCATGTAATGTGCTATTACAAGTACGCTTTGCATGTCCAGTGTGAAATATATTTTATTTTATGAAATGTATGTGTCTACATCGAATTACATTATTCACTACATGATAGTTTCACCAAAAATTACAAATGGTATCCCTAAAGACGCCCGACACTGAAAAATTAAAAAGAAACAACACAACAACACATAATTCTTTTGATACAGCTTATTGATGGTAGTTAACAGTAACTACGCTTACGTCCCCTAGCATCCAATTAAAGAACATGACATATATAAGTAGAAGTTAGTACGTCATGTTTTGTGATGAAAGAAGATATATGAGATATATGAGGACGTTGAGTATTTATTAATCGTTGGAAATCACGAAACAATAGAAATGACCGTTACG